GGGGGGGGGGCAAACTGCCTCCCCTCCTCTCCCACCCCATCTCCCATTCAGCCCGGAGGCAGTTGTAGCTGGAAGGGACCTTGCAGATCATCTAGTCCAACCCCTTGGAAAAGGCCTTGGAGAGCTTCTTTCCTTCCTCTTTTCTCCATTCTTCCTTTCTTCTTCCCGCCAGCTTCTTCCTTCCTTCCTTCCCTTCATCTCCTTCCTTCCTTTCCACTTTTCTCCATTCTTCCTTCCTTCTTCCTCCCTTCATTTCCTTCATTCCCCATTCTTCCTTCCTTCTTCCCTCATTCCCTTCCTTCCTTTTTCTCCATTCTTCCTTCCTTCTTCCCTCCCTTTTCTCCCTTCCCCCTTTCTCCGTTCTTCCTTCCTTCTTCCCTCATTCCCTTCCTTCCCCCTTCCTCCATTCTTCCTTCCTTCTTCCCTTCCTTCCTTCCCCTTTTTCTCCATTCTTCCTTCCTTCTTCCCTCCCTTCATTCCCTTCCTTCCCCCTTTCTCCATTCTTCCTTCCTTCTTCCCTCATTCCCTTCCTTCCTTCCTTCCTTCCCCCTTTCTCCATTCTTCCTTCCTTCTTCCCTCCCTCCCTTACAGGAGTTCTTCTAATCCAACCCTCTGCCCGAGGCAGGACTCTGTATCCCATCCCAGACAATCTTATCGTGGAGACCTCCAGGGATGAAGCACCCACAAGCCGTTCCACCGGTTCATTATTCTCCCTCTCAGGAAATTCCTTCTAAGTTCCCAGCTTGGATCTCCCTCTGGCTTCCACTCCTAGAATTTCCCAGCCAGGATGCTTTCAATATAGGACCCTACAGCTGGAAGAGACCCGGGAGGTCATCCATTCCAACTCCTCAAAGCAGCAGAGCTTCTGCCATTCCAGACAAACGCCTGCCCAGTCTCCTCTGAAACACCTCCAGTGTTGAAGCACCCACAACTTCTGGTGGCAAGCTGTTCCACGGGTTAATCGGCTTCGCTGTCTGGGAATTACTCCTTAATTCCAGGTTGCTTCTCTCCTTGATGAGTTTCCATCCATTCCTTTCTCGCTCCTTCCATCCTTCCTCCCTCTCCTCTCCTCTCCTCTCCTCTCCCCTCCCCTCCCCTCCCTTCCTTCCTTCCTTCCTCCCTCCCTCCCTTCCATCCTTCCTCCCT